GTTTCCTGATCTATAACATGGGAAAGATAACAAAGGTACTTACCTCAGAGAAAATCGTGTAGAGCATGCGATTTCTGGCACACAGAGAAAGCCCAATATTATTAATACTGCTATCTCCAGTGCTAGAGGCATAGTAGACATTTCATAAATGTTTAAGCACAAGGATTCCTAGAGAAAATGACATTTCAACAAATTGGACTCAAAGCTTCTCTTTTTCAGCCTGTTTGATTATCTTGTATCAAGGAAGGCTCGAAATGGTGTAGACACGTTGTTGTTAGTTGCTGTTGAGTCCGCCTCCCACCCAATTCATGGTGAGCCCATGCACAATGGGATCGGACTGTTATGATCCATAGGGTTTCCTAGTCTGCCTTAGTCAGGAAGCTCCTCTGAAACCTGTTCAGCATCCTAGCAACATGCAAGTTTCCACTGACAGACTGGTGATGGCTGCGCATGAAGTGCATTGGCCAAGAATCGAACCCTGGTCTCCTGCATAGAAGGCGAGAGTTCTACTTCTGAACCAGCACTGCCCCTTTGGTACAGGAGTAGGAGGAGTGAAAAGAGATCAATAATGGCTTAACAACAACAAAGTAAGTGTGTGTGAACTTCAGGAAGGAGTTACTTTTAGGTTTGAAACTGTCTTTCAGTGTCAGATCTTTCTTTCTCCTTCTTTCCCCAAAACAGTGTTGTCTCCAGGCTCAACTTTTTATGTTTTTAAAAAGAAGAGCTTTCCTGGAGCTAAGAAATATACACTCAAGTAGCCCCTGAAAAGGGGTCCCTGGGGCATTTCTCCCAGGAAGGACAAAGGGGTTGGCCATATGAGCCAGCCACTATAGCCACTCTGTGCACACACAGAAAACCCACTGTGGTCTGACTGGGGCCATTGGGGGCTTCACAAGCAGGGTGCCCGTTTGGCCATTTCAGCACAGTCCTTTGCATTGAAACCTATAACAGGTGCTTAGTTTTGAGGCTTCATTACAACCAAGCCAGTGGTCCCATGGGGAAGACACGCTGCTTGGCTCAGCCCCTGGAACATGTTGCTCAATGAGTCCCTGTCTGGGACAGGGAGCTTCCCAGGGCACAGGAAATTGAGGCCTCAGGTTGCAGTAAACTAAGGGACATGGGAACTTCAACCATACTTTTGCCTGTATGTCCCCCAGACCCCAGCTTCCACTGGTATCATTTACTTCTTCCAGGGAACTCTGTGCTTGGAGGTAGATTTGCAGTAATGTTTGCTTTTTAGCATTTTTGACATGGGGCAGTTGCAGAAGAAGAATACCATTCTTCCACGCTGTAAGTGTGAGTAGTTAGATGGCTGGATGGAGGACTGTGATGGTTAAGGTCGTGTGTCAGCTTGGCTGGGGCATGATTCTCAGTGGTTTGGCAGTTATGTAATGATGTAGTCATCCTCCCTGATTTGATCTGATGTGATCAGCCTATCAGTTGTAAGGAGAGTTCCCTTGGGGGTGTGGCCTGCCTCCAATACGTATAGACGTCTGGCAAAACTTTCTGGCTTTTCCTTGCTCTGGATCCTGCACCCAGCTAGTCATCATCTGACCTCCGATTCTTGGGACTTGAGCCAGTGCCTGCAGTATTGCCTGCTGATCTTGAGATTCATTGGCTTACTGTCTGACCTGCTGATCTTGGGTTCGTCAACCCCTGCAGCTATGTGAGTCAGAAGAAGCCTCCAGCCTGACTCCTGACTCACAACTTGGGACTTGCCAGCCTCTACAACCACATGAGTCATTTCCTTGAAATAAATCTTTCTCTATATACATACATATATACACTTCACTGGCTTTGCTTCTATAGAGAACCCAGCCTAAGACAAGGGCTATCGGGACTCTCTGTTCCTAGATTTTAACTTGGACTAGCCATTTCTCTCCCAGGAGATTCAGCATATAAACCCCTTGAATTGAGAGGTAACATTAAGGACTGCAGATAAGCTTTGGTCTTGTTTACACTGTTATCAGCCACGTGGAATCTCTACCAGTTTGGAGAGATGAAACACACCACTATAAGTGTGTGTGTGTTGCATTATTTATGATTCTCTTTGAATGGCTAATTTCATTGATGTCAGAGGCTAAGAAAGGGCCCCTTAGCTACTGGGCATTATGCAATTGTTGGATTTGGACAAAACTCAAAATTATATATGGGTAATAGTACCACTGGTAATAAATTGTAAATGGGAAATGGAGTTCCTGGGTGGTACAAATGGTTAATGTGCTTGGCTGCTATCCGAAAAGTTGATAGTTCAAGTCTACCCAGAGTTGCCTTGAAAGAAAGGCCTGGAGATCTACTTTGGAAAAATCAGCCATTGAAAACCCTATGGAAATGGAATGGTGCCCAGCTACCATTACTAAACATTTTGATCAAAGATTTTACAGAAGAATTCTGATCAAAAGGGGGAAAATGTAGTATTGAATTTCAAATCCTCATGGAATCCAGACTTTCTGGAGCCATGGAGGCTGGATGAACCCTTGAAACTATTGCTCTGACATAATCTTGAAACCTAAACCTTGAAGCAAAATTGTCCCCTGAAATTTTCTTTAAACCAAACAATAGTTTAGCTTAACTAGTAAAGAATGTCTGCCTTGAGCATTGTACTCTTTTAAAAACTATCTATAGGGGATCAAAGGGACAACAGCAACTTGAAAGGTTAGATAGGAACCTTAGGGGCAGTGAATTTATGTTAATTGGGGAGGAACAACTTGGAAAAGGAGTGTGAGAGAATGGTTGCATAACTTAAATGATGCAATCAATGTCACTGAATTGTACATGTAGAATTGCTGAATCGGTGTATGTTCTGCTGTGGACATTCTCAACAACAGCAAAAATAAAGTATTTAAAAAGAAAAAGAAAACCCTATGGAGCACAGTTCTACTCTGACACACAGGGGGTCACCATGAGTCAGAGTTGACTTGACAGGAACTGTTCCCACCCCACCCCCTCCACTCCACCCCCCCCCCCCGCCCCCGCCATGGGAAATAATCCTAAACTAAATAAAAGCACCTCATATTGTATTTGCAATGGAAGACCCCGTTGGTTGAAGAAGTCTGAGTAGGTGACGCACAGCAATGGGTTGCTAGTTTGAGTGGACCTTGGTGATGTATGTATGCCTTACAAAGCCCCGTGCCTAGTCCTCCCCACGCTCTTGGGCTGAGACTATCATTCACAGCACCTTGCATTTGCCATAGCTCCTTAGGAACTATCTCAGCTGGCCATCCCACCCTGCCACAGGGGAGGAGGGAAAGTCCGGAGCTGACCTCACCCGAAGCAGAGGGCCCCCCTGAGCCGTTCGACTGGCTGTGGGCAGCTGAGCGGGGTCCTCCCCCGTGACTTCTCACCTAGTGCTCTCTAAACCCCAGCACGCAGCTGCCATAGCTCATTAAATCGGACCGAAGTTCTGGTGGTTTGCAAAGCAGATTCTTGACGGCTGTGATAAAGGTCCCACTGCTCAAATGTAATCTAGCAAAACCAACAAGGCCGCTCCCCTCCCCAAACTCTCAGACTTGCAAGGGTGGGGAAAAGTATCTAGTTAACTCCAGGAGAAACTGCACCCAGCCCCAACCACTGGAGAACACATGGAAGGTTCCAGAAATGGCAATGGTAGCTCACGAGAGGCAGTGTGAGGAGGTGCTCAGAGCCCAGCTTGCCTGAGTTCAAATCCTCCCTCTGCTGCCCACCAGCCAGGGAGCAGGGAGTAGCTACTAGACCTCTCTGTGCCTCAGTCTCCTTGTCTGTACATAGGGCTGTTCAGAGCTTCCACCTCAGAAAGTGTTGAGGATTTAATGACTTAACTGAAGCAAAGCACTTAAAACAGTGCCCTCCAAAACACCAAATCACTGCCACTGAGTCCATTCCGACTCATAGGGACCGTGTGGGACGAAGTAGAAATGCCCCATAGGATTACCAAGGCTGTAAATCTTTACAGAAGTGGACTGCCGCATCTTTCTCCCCTGGAGTGGCTGATGGATTCGAACCGCCGACCTTTCAGTTAGCAGCCGAGTGCTTTAACCACTGTACCACCAGGGATCCTAAAACAGTGCCCGGTGTTTATTAATTTAGCACCTACTATGTGCCGGGCACTGTAGGTACGGCAATGAATAAATAAGGCAAAACCCCCTGTGCTCACGGGGCTTATATTTGGGGGGCAGGGGACACACAGTAAGCACTCGCTGAACTTATCAGCTCCCCGTTGGACCCGATGCTGCCGATCTTTGCCAAGAAGCTACCTGTTGTCCTACATTAGGGCACCTTCTACGTGTGAGCCCTTTGTTGTGGCTGACGGCTCGTCTCTGCAGTCTGTTGTCAATCAGTAGCTGTCAGCACATACTGTGTGCAGCCAACGACCCTTGAAGCCCAGAAGGGCTAGGGCCAGGGTGGTCCTCAATCCCACCTGCCCACTGGGGGAAGGGTGCTGTGTTTTGCATCAGCAGGGCCCTGGGCCAAAGTTGAATCAATCAAGAGTTGTGTAAGAACTTACTACGTTGGTTGATCCAGGGGCCAGAGGTCACCATCATTCAGGAACAAGTTTCTGTTCAATGATTACCTCCCTGGGATTTATTGTGGTGAGCTGATCCAATCTTTTTTTGATCCAAAGCATAACTGTCCGTGGCCGGGATCCAAAGATCTGCCCCCTGACGAAAGAGGTGAGCCTCCCTGGGCCTAGCCGAGGGGCAGGGCCTTCCTCCTCAATGGTATTTAAGACCAGCAGTTCCTGCAATCCAACACGGCCTTCCCACTGGGAACATATACCCACAGGAGGGAAGAACTTGGAAGGAACCCTGAATCGCTGGCTGAGATCATCCCAAGGGGAGAAAAGTAAGTAGAGCTTTTATATTTACATTTCTAAAAACTGCAAAGACAACCCAAACTCATTTTCTTTCTCCACTAGTGCAATAGCAGTCAGGTGCTGTGGAAGCCAAACAAAGCCCATGAGGTGTGTGCGGAGGTGTCTGTGGTCATTGGCTCAGGAGCCTGTGTTTTTGTTCCAGGAGACCTCGACATTAGTGCCCTTGAGCCCACATCTGCAGAAATGCCTCCTCAGCTGCAAAATGGCCTGAACTTCTCTGCCAAAGTCATCCAGGGCTCCCTGGACAGCCTGCCCTCCGCGGTGAGAGAGTTCGTGGAGAGCAGTACCACGCTGTGCCAGCCAGACCACATCCACATCTGTGATGGCTCCGAGGAAGAGAACCAGCGGCTGCTGGACCGCATGGAGGAGCAGGGCGTGATCAAGAAGCTCAAGAAGTATGACAACTGGTAAGTGGGCCCCCCTGCCCATGGCTCCCACCCACTGGCTCATGCCTTCCCCTCCGTCCCCTCGGGGTCGGGAGAGAGTCGATTGAAGACCTGCTAGTGGGTGGTAGCCTCTTGGATAACTCCATGCAGTAGTCAGGCTCGCGTAGACTTGACTTTCTTGGCATTGGTGGAGCAGCCCGAGACTTACATGAGATGGCCCAGGCAGAAGCTCTTTGCAAACAAACAAAAAAAAGCCCTGTCCTGCTTTGTCTTGTTTTATTGTGCCTCTTGCCTCCTGCGGACAGAGCCCTAATCATTGACCAAAGTATGTCACGTCTTGAGTGTGGGAATAAAAGGAAGACAAAACAAAAGCTCCTTGCCAACTAGATCACTGATCACCATGAAAGAAAGGCAGTCTTTGTCCTAAAAGACTAGCTCCTGGTCGAGTAAGCGTCCATGGACTGTGTCCTGGCGGGTCTGGCTGCTCGCACCCACTGAGCATCTTCAGTGTGCTCAGCATGTCGCTAGATGTGGCAAAGAAGACAAAGATGAATGAGATTGGTCCATTCCCAAACAACGCTCCGTGGAAGGAGTCTTGTGTGAAGGCGCAGCACTGATGGGCAGCCTTCGCCTCTCCATTCCTAACCCATGCGTTTTTGATGTTTGCAGCTGGCTGGCTCTCACGGACCCCAGGGATGTGGCCCGGATCGAAAGCAAGACAGTCATCATCACCCAAGAGCAAAGAGACACGGTGCCCATCCCCAAAGCTGGCACGAGCCAGCTGGGCCGCTGGATGTCAGAGGAAGACTTCGAGAAAGCGTTCAGCGCCAGGTTCCCAGGGTGCATGAAAGGTGAACGGAACGTTTATTGAATTGGGCCATGTCAGCAAACCTTTCACTGTTATGTCTCTTCTAAAATGGCGCCTCTGGGCATCTATTTCCAAAACATCAGCCACTGGAAACCCTATGGAGCACAGTTCTACCCTGACACACATGGGGTTGCCATGGGTCAGAAGTGACTGATAAAAAAACCAAACCAAACCTGTTGCTGTTGAGTCAATTTTGACTCATGGCGACCGTATAGGACAGAATAGAACTGCCCCATAGAGTTTCCAAGGAGCGCCTGGTGGATTCGAACTGCTGACCCTGTGGTTAGCAGCCGTAGCACTCAACCACTCCGCCACCAGGGCTTCCTAAGTGACTAACGGTAACTGGTAATTCTAGCCGGTAATGGGACCCTTGTAGCCTCGGATATCTTTAGATGCTATATGTGAAATCAGCAATGTATTCAAATGCACATCTCTGTTCTGGTTTTACTGACTGTTTTACATAAACATGAAAATATTTCTATACACGTGGACTTAAAAGAGCACGGATCCCACTGTACATGAATGAAAACTCTTCACTTTTGCATGCTCTTCACTTTCCAATGGACTCTTTTGTATCCAAGGGATGGTGGTAGACAGGGTGTGATGTTACAAGTGGGGGCCTACAAAGTGGGTCCCCATTCTCACCAGTCCCCACTGACCCGGCCCCCAGGTCGCACCATGTACGTCATCCCGTTCAGCATGGGGCCGCTGGGCTCGCCTCTGTCCAAGATCGGCATCGAGCTGACGGACTCGCCCTACGTGGTGACCAGCATGCGGATCATGACCCGCATGGGCACCTCGGTCCTGGAGGCGCTGGGTGACGGGGAGTTCGTCAAGTGCCTGCACTCTGTCGGCTGCCCTTTGCCTCTGAAAAGTGAGCTTACTAATTTCAAAATCCAAAGTTAAAATGATCAAGCAAGCTTGCCCTTTAGCTGGGGGCCATGCTAGCCGTGTTCCGGGGACCCCCCCCCCCGACCAGGGACATGACATGCTGACGGGGGACGTGTCCTCGTTCCAGGGCCTTTGATCAACAACTGGGCCTGCAATCCGGAACTGACTCTCATTGCCCACCTGCCGGACCGAAGAGAGATCATCTCCTTCGGGAGCGGCTATGGCGGGAACTCGCTCCTCGGGAAGAAGTGCTTTGCTCTGAGAATGGCGAGCCGGCTGGCCAAGGAGGAAGGCTGGCTGGCGGAGCACATGCTGGTAAGAGCGTAAAACCCGTTGCCGTCGAGTTGATGCCGACTCATAGTGACCCTATAGGACAGAGTGGAACTGCCCCATAGGGTTTCCAAGAAGCGTCTGGTGGAGTTGAACCGCTGAAACTTTTGGTTAGCAACCTTAACGCTTAACCACTGCGCCACCAGGGCTTCGAGCCTAGGGAATCTTAAATGCACTCATGCCAACAACATGACGGTTCCCATCAGGCGCGACCCAATGTGCCCTCCCTGTGTGCAGGCTCAAGGAGAGGTTGGAAAATTCCCTCAATAAGTAATCCACTTGTACACCCCCTCTCGGGGAACCCCAAAGACAATGGGACTAATAGACCTCCTTTGGAATTCATAACTTTGTAAATGTTACTTGGTACTGACACCTGAAACAGACCTTTTTCTTTTTGTATATCGATGGCAGAGTTTTATTAAATACATAATGGTACATTCAGATAACGGAACACTGTGCAATCAATAACAAGAATTAAACAGATCTCTCTATATAGATACGGAAAAAGGCCCACAATATATGGCAAAGTTAAAAAAAAATACACCATAAATAGTCGTATAGATTGGTGAAGAAGTAGATTTGAGAACCTACCTTTTCGGGGCTTCCAGGCCCTGTGAGGTTGCCTGAGTCGGAACTGACGTGATGGCAGTTGGTTTGGATTTGGGTTAGGCACGTTCCTAGACCAAAGCCCACTGCTGGGGGAGAAATGAACCAATGAAGATCTTACTGAGAATTGTGTCTCCGATAGATCCTGGGCATCACCAACCCTGCGGGTGAGAAGAAGTACTTTGCTGCAGCATTTCCCAGTGCCTGCGGGAAGACCAACCTCGCCATGATGAACCCCACACTCCCGGGCTGGAAAGTGGAGTGTGTTGGGGACGACATCGCCTGGATGAAATTTGACGAACAAGGTAACCCTTTTAGACCTGCCTACAATTGGTAAAAGGAGCTCTGGTGGCACAGTGGTGAAGAGCTCAGCTGCTAGCCGAAAGATGGGTGGTTCAAACCCACCAGCTGCTCTGTGGGAGAAAGATGTGGCAGTCTGCTTCTGTAAAGGTTACAGCCTCGGGAACCCTGTCCTATAGGGTTGCTATGAGTCAGAATGCACTCGACAGCAACAGGTTCTTTACCATTGGTGAAAATTGGACCGGGGTGAATTTTTGGTCTTCAAGACACGCCAAAGTCTTCTGAATCCACAGTCTTTGGATTTTTAAGTCAGTTATTTCAGACTATGCAGAGCCTTAGAAATACATATTCTGTAAACATTCTTTCATTTAATAATGCATCTGGATAGGAATGGGGCCACGTGTTGCTGTTTGTTTACATACATAAATTTGTTAAAATAGTATTGGTGGAAAACTAGTGAGGAGAAAAAGTTGTAAAAGCCTCACCGTTTAATACAATACTTTGATGGAAAAAGATCAACGTATATTCTAGGAACCCATTGCCGTCGAGTCAATTCCGACTCATAGCGACCCTATAGTGCAGAGTAGAACTGCCCCGTCGGGTTTCCAAGGAGCTGCTGGTGGATTCGAACAGCTGACCTTTGGGTGAGCAGCTGAGTTCTTAACCGCTGTGTCACTGGGGCTCCATTTTCTAGGGAGGAAGAAAAAAAGAGTTGAGAACTTGGCACACGCATGAGCCCGGCAAGATATGAGTGTAAATGTTACGTTTTCCTTAGCACTCACTTCTTCCCTGGTCTAAACTTCTCCAGGTAACTTGAGGGCTATCAACCCAGAAAATGGCTTTTTCGGTGTTGCTCCTGGGACCTCTGTGAAGACAAACCCCAATGCCATCAAGACTATCCAGAAGAACACAATCTTCACCAATGTGGCCGAAACCAGAGACGGGGGCGTCTACTGGGAAGGCATTGATGAGCCCCTGGCCCCTGGCGTCACGCTCACTTCGTGGAAGAACAAGGAGTGGAGTCCGGAGGATGGTAAGCCCCCAGGAGGGCACGGTGCTCCTGGCCGTGGTGGGCGCCAGCCTTTCGGCCAGGCACTGAGCAGCCTCTTGCTCTCGTATGTTGTAGGGGAACCCTGTGCCCACCCCAACTCGCGGTTCTGCACTCCCGCCAGCCAGTGTCCCATCATCGACCCTGCCTGGGAGTCTCCGGAAGGCGTGCCCATCTCGGGTATCATCTTTGGGGGCCGCAGACCTGCTGGTGAGCCTCCCCTTCCCTCAGGCTGGGATTGTGAGAATGGCGGCTACAGAAGGACACCGTGAAATCTCTCCTTTTCCATGACCGTGTTAAAAACACGTGCTGTCGAGCTGATTGCAACTCATGGCAACCCCGTGTGTGTCAGAGTAGGTCTCTGCTCCATAGGGTTTTCAATAACTGATTTTTTGGAAGTAGATTGCCAGATCTTTCTTTTGAGGTGCCTTTGGGTGAACTCGAACTTCCAACCTTCAGTTAGCAGCTGAGCGCATTAACTGTTTGCACAACCCAGGGCCTTCATGACCTTGTTGGAGGGTCTCAGAGATCAGGAGCTTCCTTTCCAAAACCCCACGATAACTGGCAAGCTCCTGGTCACCTCAAACTTTCCTGGATCCTTGATCTAACGTCGCTTTTCCCAATTTTATTTTCCCCCCAGTTGCCTCGACGGTGTAATTCTGATTTAGCAGTTTTCTGTGCTTTCGCTCTGTGAATGCAAAATTAGCAACATTAGAAAGATGCTGTTTTGCTGTGTCCTTCCAATTTGTAAGATGGCATTGCCAGCCCAAGAGTCTGTGTCAAAGCCTTTGACAAAGATTTCTTTATTCTCCTGCTAAAGGTGTCCCTCTAGTCTATGAAGCTCTCAGCTGGCAGCATGGAGTATTTGTGGGGGCAGCCATGAGGTCGGAGGCCACAGCAGCTGCTGAGCACAAAGGTAAATCAAAGTCAAGATTTAAAAACACAAAGGAGGGTGATGAGTTCTCTGTGTGTGTGTGTGTGTGTGTGTGTGTGTGTGAGTGTGTGTGTGTGCACGTGCGTGTGGAGAGAGAGAGAGAAGAGGCGAGAGAGAACCAAGCGTGCTTATCTCAGTGATAAATGGTAGCCAATCTTGTCCATTTACCAGTGGGGCCCCTTCTCTGTTTAATAGGCAAAGTCATCATGCATGACCCCTTTGCCATGAGACCCTTCTTTGGCTACAATTTCGGCAAATACCTGGCCCACTGGCTCAGCATGGCCCAGCGTCCAGCTGCCAAGCTGCCCAAGATCTTCCATGTCAACTGGTTCCGGAAGGACAAGGAAGGCAGATTCCTCTGGCCTGGCTTTGGGGACAACTCCAGGGTCCTGGAGTGGATGTTCAACCGGATCAACGGGGAAGACAGCGCCAAGCCCACGCCCATTGGCTACATCCCTGCAGAGGATGCCTTGAATCTGAAAGGCCTGGGCGACATCAACGTGAAGGAGCTCTTCAGTATCTCCAAGGAATTCTGGGAGAAGGAGGTGGAAGATATCCAGAAGTATCTGGAGGAGCAAGTCAATGCCGACCTCCCCTATGAAATCGAGAGAGAGGTCCTAGCCCTGAAGCAAAGAATCAGCCAGATGTAATCAGAACCTGAGAGCTTAGCCTCCGTAAGATGCATGGGAGCAAGAGAAGGTGGGGTTTTCCAGAGGGGACCCCTCCAGTAACATGATAATGACCACACTGATGAGCAGATCCCAAAGGCACACTGTAATTGTTCAGATAAAGAGCCACAGAGTACAGGCAGTGATGACTTGATTGGGAGGGGAAATCCCAGCATGTCTCCAGTATCCATTATCCAATGCACATTCTGTTTCACCTTGGGACCACTCAGGCATTTACACTTTTTTTGTTTTTCCCTTTAGCTATCTCAGTTAGCTGGAATGCACAGAAAAAAAATACTTGAGCCATATATATGCGTGTGTGTGTGTGTGGTGTATTTGTGTGTGTGTGTGTGTGCGTGCGCACACGCAAGTACTGTTATCTAAAATATATTTTATATCTTTGGAAAAATCCTGGGAAAGATTACCTACTAGTTGTTGCTAGAAAGAAATGTTACTTTATGACGAATACATGTGTTTAAATTATTTTTATATACCATCGTTCCTTACCTTTACATAATTTCAAATTTTCCCTTCACCACTTCTTGTAAAAATTACAAAATAAACTTTTATAGAAAAGACGGATTTGCTTTGCTTGTTTGTTTGTTTTTTTCTTATTTGAACCATCAAGAAGATAGCTCTTTCTGATTAAGCAGCTTGTGATCCAAGATCCCACCCAAAAAATGGGGCGTTTTGGATCACGCTTGAAGAGGGGGTGAGTCGAATGGGCAGAGGTTGCGGCCAAGGCCTCAGCGCAGAGAATGAGCATACAGAGACCCCCTAGAGCCGCAGCTGGGGTTTTCCGAACTAGCTGAAGCCGCAAATTGCCACCCTTCCGCAATTGGGTTGCTGTTATTGTTAGCTGTCCTTGAGTCCAACCCCACGCACAAGGGAACAAAATGCTACTTGGTCCTGCACCTTCCCCACAATCGGTTGTGGATCGGACCATTGTGATCCATGGGGTTTTCTTTGACTGATTTTTGGAAGTAGATAGCCAGGACTTTCTTCCTAGTCTGTCCCGGTCTGGAAGCTCTGCTGAAACCTGTTCAGCATTGTAGCAGGTATGGAACCCGATCTCCTGCACGGAGGCAAGAATCCTACCACCGAGCCCCCACCGCCCCCTTTAACAGCGTACAATCCGTAAAGTGGTGGCACTTGTGTAACTGGAGGGGGTGAGTTTAATATGCATTTTTTGACAAAAATTTGGGTCTCTGGGGCTCTGCCATCCCACAAGAATTACATTGTGGAGAGTTTCCCAGGCTTCGCCAATGATCTTTTTTAAGCAAAACTTTGTCATCCACAGGGGAGGAGGGAAGGGAGAAAAGTGTTTTTCAGAAGAAAAGGCCAGCAGTATCTACCATTGCACAGGCAGTAATTGAGCTCCTTCTGTATACTGAGCATGGTGCCCAGCTCAGTGGACCCCCTTGTGAGAAGACAGGTAGTGTGGCTTGGCCCCAGCAGGGCCTCAAGCCCGCATGTGGGCTCCTCTCTCCCCATGTTTATGGGGTATTCCGGAACAATCCAAACAGACCACAGACTTTTTATATTGCATATTCACTCTGTAAATAAATACAACTGTCCGCAAGCTGGTCCCTCCTTTCTGGGCGCAGGCTGTTAACTGGGCTTTAACCTTCATCACACCCCAGCGAGCAGGCTGTTCCCACAGTAAACTCAGGCCTCCATGGCTTCACAACTCACAACCATTCATCCCCTACTCCTGTGCTCTGTACAGTGGCCCCCCGTGGAAGGTGAAGCCGGATCCTCCTGACTTGACAGGTGGGGAAACTGAGGCCAGGAGTGCCACTGGGCCCGAAAATGGCAGATGGAGTTTTCCTCCCCTTAAAGGAGCTGAGTGTCTGACCCAACTCTGTAGACACATGGTCACATTCTAACACCAAAACTAGGAGCCCCGGTGTGCAATGGTTAAGTGCTCAGCTGCTAAACAAAGGTTGGAGGTTCGAATCCACCCGGAGGCCCCAAGGGAGAAAAGACCTGGTGATCTGCTCCTGTAAAGATTACAGCCTAGGAAACCCTATCGGCAGTTCTACTCTGTCACATGGGGTCGCCATGAGTCAAAATCCACTCGGCGGCACCCAACAACAATATCAAACAATACTGATGGGGAAAAGCCGTTTAATGGGATTAAACGCTCCCTATTGGATTAATCTGAATCTGCGGCTTTTGAACGTGCTTCTTCCGGCTGCAGAGCACTCTCTTGACATGTGCTCTGACTCAGAAGCTGAATGGCTGAAAGAGAAGACAGGGGAGCTGTGTCTGGGGCTGGGGCAGGATCCAGCCCAAGCCACCTCGCCGCCATGTCTCCACCTCCCAGTGGCCTCCGAGGCCGTTCTCGGACCCCCGAGACGGCAGCTGGGACACAGCTTGGGCGCCATTGCTCAAAGGCAGGCTCTGTGCCCCACTGTCCCATCCTAAGCTTTCAGTTGTTGTCACTCCCTTTGCAACGGGAGGCGGCCACCTCGTGGACATCCTTAAGCTCTTGTGCAGCATTGCTTGGGTAGGACCATGTGGCTTCCAGGCTCTGGAAGTCTGGGGGACAGCCTAGAGGAGGTGACTTAAACAGAACGGGTGTTTGCTGTTGGCCCATCACTCTGGGAGGTGGGTTTAGAGCTGGAATGGCAGACAAGTCTCCTGTTTCTAGGTCAGCCCTCCCCATGGCCCCTTGTGACCCAAACCAACACCAGATCTACCTCTTCTATTGGAATGCAACATACGAGCTGCCCCCTGACCCCCATGAGTTCCCAGAGTTGGGTCGGAGTGTGGGTTAAAGACCAGAATACAGTAGGTACACAGCAAATATTGAATCAGGACAACAAACTGCCCCCAGCTCAGGCACCCAGGGAGCTTTGTAGGTAGGTGGGGCTGGGGAAGAACAGGGCAGGTGGGATGGGGCACACTTGGGAGACAGGAGGTCTCCCCCTCTCTGATGGGGTCCACTCTGACCCCAGAGTCTAGATCTACCCCCTCCGGGCCCCCCATAGCATATTCCTTCCAGAGGGCAAGATGCTGGCCTTGAAGCAGAGGGGGCCCTGGCAGCTCCTCTTACCTGGCTGCCCTCCAGAGGACCCCAGGCCAGAGCAGTGACCTCAGCTTTGTCACTGTTGTCAACAGTTGCAGTAACAGGGCTCCAGGTGACATCAGCTAAGGGAAAGGACTGGCCACCTGCTTCCTCCCCCCACCTCCCTTCCTGCCCTGGGGCGGGGTTGGGGGGGATAGTAAACTCTGGCAACCTTGGTCAAATCCCACTTCTGCCTCTGGCCAGGTGCATTACCCTGTGCTACAGTGATACCCCTTACTGGGTCCGATGAGGATGAAATGATACAACCCAGCTCAGCACAGACTCTGGAGTCAGGAGGGTCCAATTAGAGTCACAGGCCTACCTCTTTTTTTTTAAATTTATTTTTTGTTGCTATTGTTGAGAATATACACAGCAGAACATATGCCAGTTCAACAATTTCTACATGTGCAATTCAGGGACATTGATCACATTCCTCAAGTTGTCTGACCATTCGCACCCTCCTTTTCTGAGTTGTTCCTCCCCCATTAACATAAACTCACTGCCCCCTAAGGTTCCTTTAGAGGTGCTGTTGTCAATTTGATTCCATATAGAAATTTCTTAAAAGAGCACAATGCTCAAGGCAGACATTTCTTTACTAATTAAGCTAACTTGTTGTTTGGTTTAAAGGACACTTGAGGGAATATTTTTGGTTTAAGGTTTAAAGTAAAGATTATCTCCAGGCAATAGTTTCAAGGGTTTATCCAGCCTCCACGGCTCCAGAAAATCTAGTTTCCATGAAATTTGGAATTCTGTTCTATGGTTTCCCCCTTTTGATCAGAATTATTTTAGAGAACCTTTGATCAAAACCCTCAGTAATGGTAGCTGGGCACCATCCAGTTGTTCTGGTCTCATGGCAAAGAAGGCAGTTGTTCATGGAGGCAATTAGCCACACATTCCATTTCTTCCTCCTATTCCTGACTCTCCTTCCTCTGTTGTTCCAGGTGAGTAGAGATCATTTGTTGTATCTTGGATAGCCTTACCTTTTATTAACAGTGTGTGACCCTGAACCTCAGTTTCATCAACTGTGAATTGGGATAAATAACTGTAGCTTCCCTAGGGGATGTTGAAAAGATCAAGTGAGATGATGCAAGAAAGGGACTTGGCATGTAACAGTGCCTGGTGCAGGGCAGCAGCTACCATCTTTATTTTACCCTAGTCTTCAATGTTGCTGTGTTGGAATGACATCAGAGATGGGGAGCTCACTCCCTCCAAGGCAGCCAGCCCACTGATGATCTGTCTGGCCCAGGCGTAGAGGCCTGCCTTCCATGCAGCATCCACCCACTACTCCTGCCTCCGCTGTTGATTTCAAGAAGAGAGATCAAGGGTGGGGCTGAAAGAGAAGCCATCCAGAAAGATTGGGAGCATTCTCCTGGGGGAGCAAGACCCCTCCTCAAGCATCTTAGAAAAAGACTCATTAGCTTGGGCCCAGTAATTCTAACTTTCCACCATCCGTCTGCCAGTTTGTTGTACCATGATGGCTGGTATGTTGCTATGATGCTATATTTCACATACGAGCAAGGTCACCCATGGTTGACAGGTTTCAACTGAGTTCCAGACTAAGACAGACTAGGAAGAAAGGCCTGACAATCTACTTCCCAAAATCAGCCAATGAAAACCCTATGGATCACAACAGAATATCGTCTGATATAGTGCTGGAAGATAAGCCCCCTAGGTTGGAAGTCATTCAAACTACACAGTGGCCACAATAATGGACTCAAGCATACCAACGATTGTGAAGATGGCGTAGGACTGGGCAATGTTTTGTTCTGCTGTACATGAGTGTACCATGAGTTGGAGTAGACTCAATGGCAACTAACAAGAAGAACAACAACAAACTCTAAGATATGTATCTCATGGGAGAATCATGGATGTGCTTACAGATTTAACTACAAGGATTCTCATGAAGAGGTTGTTCATAAAGGCCCCAAAGTAGGAACCAGCCCAAATACTCAACAATAGCGGATTGCTTAAAGAAGCGGAATCCCTCCCAGCACAGCTGACCAGGCAGCCGTATAAAATGACTCAGCCAGAGATCATTTATTGACATGCAATACTTGCCACGCACTG